GAGATGGGATTTCACCAGGTTGGCAGGCTGTCCTCGAACTCCTGACCTCAGGTGATCCGCCTGCCTTGGCCTCCCAAAGTTCAGGGATTACAGGTGTGAGCCACCTTGCCCAGTCTGCATTCCATACTTTACTTAAAATCATGCAAGTACTTATGATTTTTAGGCTGGGGCCCCTTCAAATCCCATAAATGGGGGAGAACTTGCTCTGGGATATAAATGCTATCAGGTTCTCTCTGGAGTGTTCATTCAGGCTTTTTTTTGTTTTTTGTTTTTTGTTTTTTAGACAGAACCTTGTTCTGTCACCCAGGCTGGAGTGCCGTGGTGCCATCTTGGCTCACTGCAGCCTCGAGCTCCTGGGCTCAAGCGATCCTCCGATCCTCCTATCTCCACCTCTGGAGTAACTAGCTGGGACTACAGGTGTGCACCACCACACCTGGGTAATTTTTTGTGTTTTTGGTAGAGACCGGGTTTCATCTGGATTACAGGCGCCTGCCACCACACCCAGCTTATTTGTAGTAGAGGCGGCATTTCACCACGTTGACCAGGCTGGTCTAGAATTCCTGACCTCAGGTGATCCATCCGCCTCGGCCTCCCAAAGTGCTAGGATTACAGGTGTGAGCCACCGTGCCCGGGCTTCTTTTTAAAATTGTTTTACTTTCATTTTACGGGGCTCTTGGGATGGACAGGACATTGTGTGTGTGGTGTGTGTGTGTGTATGTGTGTGTATGTGTGTGTGCGGGTGCTTACACTGTCTTCCTGATCTGGTAGGTCAGAAATAGTTTCAGTGGAGTCCTATTGAATAGAGAGGCCTCTGGACTGAGGGCCCCAAATTCCTTTCTGGTCTGCTAACCATTACTGTAGCCCATGAGCTGTCCTGTCCAACCCCAGGTAACTTAGGACAGCTTATGTTTGAGCTCGGGTGGACTAACTGTATAAAAATTGGGAGAAGCTTATAAATCCATTTCCCTAAATGAGGCTGAGGGACAAATTAAAACATTTAAATAGAAGCCTTAACTGGATAATAAAAGTTCAAAGAGAATGAGCCCAAGGAAGGATTTACTTGCAGTTGATACTCTGTGTCCAGCATGGTGGCAGGGTCTGCAATAGTGTGTATTTGCTATGGCTGACTTTCATGTCAGATATGTGCTGGAAGGCAGGATTTACTCCGTTGCAGTCCCTATGTTATTGCCAGGGCTTTGTTTGTTTGTTTGTTTGTTTATTTATTTAGAAACGGAGTCTCTTGCTGCCCAGGCTGGAGTGCAGTGGTATGATCTGGGCTCACTGCAACCTCCGCCTCCTGGGTTCAGGTGATTCTCCTGT